TTGTAATAGCTAAAGTATGTGATTATGTTCACATAATTTTTATTGTATTAGCTAAAGTATGTGATTATATTTGCATGTTTTTATCATATTAGTTTAAAAAAAAACCATTGAGGAATTTGTTGGTTGTATTCCTTTTTTCATTTCCCATCCCTTTTTCTTAGCATTATTTTTAAACTGATTGAAAAATTGATAGTAATAGAATTCAACTGAATTGATAAATTGAATTTGGTGATTAAACATATATTAAATAGAAATAAAAATAGTGAAATTCGAAAAAAAAAAGGTTATTGTCATTGTATACAATAATATCAATAAACGATATGCATAAATTCGCATGATTTTTATTGTATTACTTAAAGTTATTTTTATTATCGTATCATATTTTTCCATGACGTTACTGTATTAGCTTTAATATACGTCAATATTTGTATCATATTACTGTTTACCATAATACGATAATACAATATTATATTATCGTATACATTGAGAACGTACTATACTGTAGAAAATATTTCAATGATAAATAACAATAATGTTAGCATATAATTAATTACACAATAACAGATCATTGTGATACTTTTTTTACCTTTCACAAAACAATCCCCATTATTATTTGCTAATTATATGCTATTTATCATGATTTGATATACCACCTGAACATTTGTTGAATTCATTAAATCACCATATGCTAATGCTAATTAATTTAATAAAAATAATAACTAATTGATATTAGCTGGAATGAAACAAATTTTAGCGTAAGGAATGAAACTTTCGAATTGTTTATAGATATATTTATATTTTTTCTGTTTTCTTTTAATTAATTAAGTTGACATATATCCAATCATTCATTATTATGTCACCTCAAGTTGACATAAGCAAAAATAAAAAGAAAAAATGTAAACAATAAAACTCTCTTCTTTATACTTACTTCTCTTTCTTTTGTATGCATAATTTGAATATTAATAATTATCATAATTTTGCACATACACACACAGACAGACAGGTATACACATACACAGACAGGTACACACACAGGTACACGTACACAGACAGGTACACGCACAGGTATACATACACAGACACACACACACATGGACAGACCGATAAATATACTTATCATGAAGATTGAAGAGAAGGGTGATGTAAAGAAGAGATGTAAACAGAAATACCGTTTATATAAATACCTTTAGCATGACTCATCATCATTCCTAGTTGATGCTTCAACGAACATTTTTAACATTTTGAAGCGGAAAAGAAAAAAAGTAATTTTTTTTTTTTTAAAATAAAAAACAAAAAATATTTAA